AGTGGGTAGACCAGTGGGTAGACAAGTGGGTAGACCGGTGGGTAGACCGGTGGGTAGACCGTAGGGTAGACCAGTGGGTAGACAAGTGGGTAGACAGGAATCAGTTGCTGTGTTGCCCAGCAATTGTCCAATCCCCTACTCGTTTCTGCTTAGGGTATGAGGTCGAACACTTCAGTGGCTTCAATGCATGTTGTCTAGAAAATATATCTCCTATATATGTGCAGTCCTGTATGCGTCAACTAACTCACCTCGCAGCTCAAGAAACATATGAAAGTTTCACACACTCCATATTCCACCCCTTCACTCTCTTGTGAATCATGCTCAATTACCTTTCTACTATTTGTTTGTAGAATCCTTCGGGAGTTCGCATGATGCAATGGGACAAACTGGATTTGCATAACGGTAAGATCAACTAGGTGCAAGTAGGATGCGGGGGACACCATTTCCATGTATAGCAATAAGAAATCCATTCGAGATTTCTGTATAACATATGAATTTTTGTAGACAAACGTAAAACTAAAGTTATACCTTTTTTTTTTTTTAAGGAATTGCCAGTTTGGAAATGTCACTGTCAAAATACCCTGTACTAGGAGAATGGAAGATCGAGGCAAAGCATAAGGTGAATCATATATTAGCATACCACACACTAAATTTCACGGTTGCGGGGCTCGAAAAAATACGGCCGCTTTCTTTAGTAGAATTGACCTCAATTGTAAAGTTATTTATGAAATGAATCACGTGTTTCATGGCCGCTGTGAAGCAAAGTTTTGATTGGGGGAGGAGAGGGCTGGTGAGAAAAGTAGGGAGTAGGGACTAAAGCACTGTGACAATGTCTTGTTGAAAGGAATAGTGGAAGGAGGAGGGGGAGCAGCCCAATTGTTGCGTAGTATTTTGCATTCCTTTCCAGATTCTTACCCTTGCATTTATTTCCATTCTCATTTTTCCTTTCATTATTCATTCCTTTTTTTGGTTCATTATTAATTTCAAAATACCTGCAGCATTCAGGTAAGTTATCTTAACTTGTCTGCCTTCCATTTTGTAGGATAAGAAAATTATCAAGGTTATCGAAGTCTCCAAGTATGGTAAGAGCTCATCACGTATGACTTGGTTTAAACTGACTTCTCATGTTAAACCATCCATCCAATGTCTTACAAATATTTGAGTAATAAGCACTGATTACAATTATACAATAATAAATATATCATTTTTGCAGAGAGAATAAGAGAAAAATATCAAATGCCCTTGGCGGGGATTGAACCCACGTCTTCGGTATTCCAGTCCGATGTGTGGAATGCCGAAGACGTGGGTTCGATTCCCGCCAAGGGCATTTGATATTTTTCTCTTATTCTCTCTATTTCATTACACACACCGAACGCATAATTTATTGCTACTATACTATATCATTTTTGTAGTTCTTCCGAAGTTTGAAGTGATTATTCGACCTCCTCCATTTATTGCAATTGATAGTAAAGACGTTAGTGGTACCATATGTGCAAGGTTAGTATGAAGCACACCATTATTGAATTGTCTGCTTTAGGCAAGTTAAAACCTATTGTAAACAGGACATAACATCAATATCAATATCTGTCGTTATCCTGGTCTGTACCTGTGACTAAAATAAGCTTTTACGTATTCAACTTTTGAAACTCGTGTAAATAAGCAAATTAACAAAGCTAATTGCTAATTGTGTAGTTCAGCCGTACTGGTTGTTACAATTAGCCTGTGCTTTAAAATAAGGAACAAACTAAATGTACAATGTAATACTGATTATATACAAAACTACGTGCTTGTCATACGAAATAGAACATTAGTGATTTAGTGGGATAGGAATTATATTAAAAAACAAAAGAAGATCACTGAAGCTGAACTTTTAATGTATTCCTTTCTCACAAATTACTAATGTTCTAATATCGTATGACAACGTTCTTGCAAGTAGGTGTATATGTATTTATCACAAGAATCATTCAAAATGTACATTGTACTTTTATTTATATATATTACGGCACTAAATAAACATATTGCATTGTATGAATAAGTTCTAGAAAATGAATAAATATAGTTCTGTCGATTCGATTTCAACGTTGTTTACTCGGTTGAGACTGTATCTCAAACTGTATTCAAGCGTGATGGTTACTTTGTTGTAGATATACGTATGGTCAACTGGTCAAGGGCAAGTTAAAAGTGACTTTCAGGTTGAAGCAAAGTTGGTGGTGGTCATCAAGAAGAAATGAAAGGAAAATTGATGTCGAGAAAAATGTAAGTGCATGTTGCCTTTTATTTTCACCGAATTGAAAAAACCTTGTCGGGTTGAAACGATTTGATCAATCTATCTATTGAATCTATTAAGCTTTGGCTGTTGTATAACAGCGTGGTACAGTCACAACAGAAACAGGCTCCAGCTAGGTAAAACCAAGAGAGCATAAATAAGAGAGGAAAACTTTATATCGTTATTTTTAGAAATCGAGTGCAGTTTAAATGTCGCGCAACCCTTCCCCCGTGCGTCAACTGCGCGTGCGTGCGCTCTTTCCGTTTGTTATTTTGATCTCGTTTTTGTGATCAAAACAACAAACGGAAAGCGCGCGAAGATTAAATTAGAATTTGAAGTTGATTTTYGATGAGCGACTAAAACCGGTGAACCTTAAAAGAAACCCTCGAATCACAGGAAAGAGCCAACAAGCAACTGTACTCGCATACTATATACACCGAGACCGGCGGGACTCGAACTCTGGTCTCACTGGTGAGAGGCGGCGCATTAGCAGCGCATAGAAGCTAAGTCCGAAGGGTATTCTGGGTAAACAGTAAAGAGGCTCATATAATGCATTGAAATTATGCAGCTTTTAAACATCAATTCAAGTCAATAAACAACATTTGGTGACTCTTTATTTGTGTGTCTGTATGCAAAAACTTTCCAAATGCCCAGGATATTAACTACCCAGAATACCCCACCGTCTTAGCTAGCTATGATGATTCAACCTTTTCAACCCAACAACGTTTTAAAAATTTGCTGTCATATATAACTATCCCTGCATGACAGAAATTTGTTTTAATGTTCTATAGCAGCAATTTGCTTTTGAATCTTGAACAGATTACAGGATGCTACGATTTCACGCTGACCAATAAAGATCTTGGTCTTGCTGGGATGAAGTATTCCTATTATGGCGCTCTTCTGAATATTACTGCCGTTATGACGGAAGAAGCTACTGGCATCTCGCTAACTGCGACCAGCACCAAGACAAATATCGTTCCTTATCGTGTAAAATTGGATTTCCGTGTCGGTACACCCAATCATTTCAAACCTGGACTTCCATTCTATGGTCAGGTAAGTATTAGATAGAGTAACCATGCTCTTATGCTCTTATGCTCTTATGCTCTTATGCTCTTATGCTCTTATGCTCTTATGCAACATTCACTGACTGATCCTGCGCAGGCAAAGGAAAATAAAAAAATTCATTGTATGTCTTATTCTTCATTTTTATTATCACTTCACCGTGTTTCGGTAACAATAACCTTGATCCCTGTCTAGCATAGACCAGTTTCGTATGACTGTGAAAAGCTCACGGCACGAACACGGCCGTGACACGGCAAGGCATACGCCAGACCAATAACATTGCTCGAGAATTTATCTCCATCCAATCAAATATCCGTAACAAAGCACGAACACGACGCGGACATGGTCACGGCACTGCCAGACCAATCACATAGCACCAATTAATATTCTAGAAAACATCACGATCGCGGCAATGGAATGCACGCATACGACTGAGCTTTTCACATTCATACGAAAACTGCTCTACAAGCTTAGCATTCTTATATAGCACGCGATTGAGAATAAAGCCAAATGATATTCTGTCCTACCATTGTCTTTTTTAGCTTCATGTCACTTCTCCTGACAAAAAGCCAATCAGAAACGAGACCGTCACCATTACAGCTGAGGATGACAAAAGAGGTTTCATATTCAAAAGAAAATTCTTGGTCAACAACGGAATCGTTAACTTTGTCTTACCTGAAATACCAATAAAGGCAAAGTACCTTTCGATAAATGTGAGTGTTACCCCTTTTGTTTGCCAAAATAGTCGGTCGTACACGGTCACTCGACCAATTTCCGCCATTGAACACTATATAATTGATTTAAGATGCTCTGAATGTTTTCTTTGTTTGTTTTTGGTTTCTTTATTATCAGTTTCAACATACTGGATCTAAACCAGTGATTTGCAGTAATTTGCTAGTTAGCTCTTTAAAATTCCTAGACTTGACAAGCTGGCTCGCTAGCTGAAAAACATTATGAACCCGCGCGTCAATATACATGTCGGACTTATTCTTTTTGCATATTATATTTTGTAAAGGCTCGACATGGTTCCGGGCAAATATTTGGTTCAGACTATGGAGTATCCAACTGGTACTCAACAGCAGGAATCCACTGCAGGCCTTGGTATTCGAAAAGCTGGAGCTTCTTGGCCCTTGGTAAACTGCATACTCCATTAAAGGTATCTAGATGTTAGATATTATGATGAATTGTATATTCATCCTATGGCCGGGTTATTCGTTTTCCATGTATATTGTCACAATATTATGTTTTTGGTTCATAGGTTGGACAAAAGGCGAAAATCAATTTCCAGTACACATTTAAGGGAGATGAATTTAAAAGTGAATTTGTTTATCATGTAAGTATTGATCATACAAAGATATATTAGATTTTACGAACAGTAGACTTTTTACACTATAAGCGAGTGCGTTTTGAGCTGGTTTATAGAATACTTGAAATATAAAATATAACGCTCGCGCTGGTTGGCTGTCTACCGTGTCTATATCAGATGACAGAGACTCTCTGTACTCAGATATATAAACACTGCGAGAGCTTACTTCTCTCGTGCTCTACAGCTCACAGCTTGTTTTTAAAAATCACAGTACAGAGACATTCGCAGGAGTTTTATTTCATGAATGAAAAACGCGCGTACTGAATGCAGTTTATTTCCAGCAGTTTGCCCAGCAGATGAATTGTCAAGACATTTCGCCTACCTTATTAGCTTCTTTTCATATTTTCAGTTGATGTGCCGTGGAAAATCGGCAGCAAGTGGCAGGAAAACTATTTCATTCCAGACTAAAACTAGAGTTACACAACCAACCACCGAACCGACCACCGGAACGACCACCGGAACGACCACTGGACCGACCACCGGACCGACCACCGGGCCAGTAACAAACAATACGAACGTCACAACCTCCACAACTACTACCTCAACTACTACCTCAACTACTACCACACCTACTACCACACCTACAACAGAACCAATCACTCGCAGCAGTGCTTCAGACCTGAAAGCAGCCAATGGAATGATTGAGTTTCAAGTGACCCAGAGCATGGTGCCATCATGTCGAATGCTAATATATTATGTGAGGAAGGATGGTGAGACAGTAGCTGACAGCATGGTGGTAGACATAGAGGACAAGCTTCAAAATCAGGTTACTCTTTAACTAACTACCCTGACTACAAACCCTTACTGATTCATCAACGGTTACTTGTTCTTTGCAACTAAAATCATGGCTTTATTAAATTTGTATTATAAGGTACAAGTGCGACTCAGTGAAAGCGTTCGAAGACCTGGCGAGCAGGTTCAAATCACTCTATCAGCTGCACCTGGGTCAACAGTTGCTCTGGCAGCGGTAGACAAGAGTGTTCGTATTTTACGAGAAGCTGACGATCTCGACTCTGACGATGTAAGCAAGCATAACCGTTTCTTTTCTTTTTACAGTCAATTCAAAAAATGTTGTCGTCGACCGGCTCAAGCCTACGCGACTGGACCGAAAGGAATATGGGTAAAAATCACTGAAGCGATTAAATATTCGTTCTGAATTAATTGTTCCCGCTAGTAATAAGATAATAATGGCTAGAAACAATCCATCGAATGCATGTCTTCGGGTTTGGGAAAAGAAAAAAAGTAGTTATGATTCAGTTCAAAATTCCGAAAATATGAGGGCATTAAAAAAACGTCTCCTTCAACACTTCCCGCTCGCCTACGAAGGTTCGTGCTGTAAACCAGGCATAATTAGTCAGATAAAATAATGGAGTCACCTCGGCTTCAATGATTGCTACCTAGAATTCCTTTCGGTCCAGTCGCGTAGGCTTGAGTTGGTCGACGACAACATTTTTTGAATTGACTGTATCTACTTTTGTATCCAGCATCCATTCAGAGAGAGGCGGGGAAAGGGGGGAGGTGGAGGGGGGAGAAGATGAATAAAATCTAATATGGTTTCTTTAAATGTTTCTTCAAAAGATATTTGATATTTTGTCTGCACAAGATGTTGGTCCATCAAGGCAGTATAAACAGCAAAGACATTGCAAGCCACGTTATCCATTTTGGAGACCGCCTATAAGGCGAACGCGAAGTATCATGCCACGCTCAATAGATGTGTATGTGGATGCGTCCAAAGCATTTTACGTGAGTAAATACAAAGTGTATGTATTCATTGCCTTTTCAGTACTGAGACTCTGAACGGTACCTCGAATGACCTGTAACTATCAGAATGCACTGTGCGCCGGCTAAGTTGGCCAGTGCTCGCTCACTTATTCTAAATTCTCTCTAAGCCTTCAATGCTCTAGAATACTTAGAGGTAATACTGAAGATGTAATATGATGAAGAAATAGAAAACGCGCGCGCGTGCTGTGTGCAGTCATAATGCACGCGGGGGTTGGCAGAACACGAGAGAAGTGTTTCTCGACACTTCTTGAGTGTTCTGCCAACCCCCAAGTGCTTTATGACTGCACACAGCACAGCAACAAGTTTTTTCATTTCTTTTATAAAATACAAATTACAATAATAGATAGGAATGACGCAACGGAAAGTGCGCGCGCGTGCAATGTGCTCTCATAAAGCACGCGCTCCAAACCAATCAGAACACGACATTCGTAACAGTTATTTTATAAATCAGGATACATGTTTTATTTTTCTTTATTTTAGGATACTGGTCTTGTTTATTTTTCTAACCTGACGATAGAATCGCGTCCATGTCCCGAATTTAACTACCTGTGGAGGTCAAGAGAAAATGGTAATTCTCTTTTACGATAACTTGCTTTTGAGTTGAAACTATTCGCCTAATATTGCCTGTTTCTACTCTTCTTACCATGACTTCAAAAGGTCCCATAAATGGTGGTCCAAGGCCTGTACCTCTATTCAGCAGAATTATTGGTCAAAGAGGAGGAGCTGGGGGATTTGGTGGTCGTCCTGGTCCTAATTTGGTACGAAAAACTCAAAAGAAAGCAGTTGTAGCTCCTCCGACTGTAAGGAAAAACTTCCCAGAAACTTGGCTCTGGACGGATGAGGTTGTCAGGTGAGAACGGTCGGTTTATCTAGTTTTGAGAACATGCATGCATTATTACTTTTCAATGCTCATCTGAAACAGTACCTTTTCACAGCAACTCGACTGGACAAACTGTAATAACGGCCAAAGTTCCAGACACGATCACCAGCTGGTATGCCAGTGCCTTTGCTATGTCTACAAGTCATGGAATCGGTGTGACAGATCCGTCCATTCTAACTGTCTTCCAGCCTTTCTTCGTGTCATTTACCTTGCCTTATTCTGTTATACGTGGAGAACAAGTCAGTATCATCACTACGGTTTTTAACTACATGAGTCAATGCTCGACGGTAAGATGCTTTTATTTTATTTTTAGCTTTCGTGCTTTTATTTATTAAGAGGGCTTAGGAATTGGGACGCTGATCCTTAATTATATGTATATATATGTTTATATAATTGTGTATATATATAAGAAAGAGAAAGAGAAAGAGAAAGAGAAAGAGAAAGAGAAAGAGAAAGAGAAAGAGAATATTTAAAAAAAAAACGCTTTATTTAAAACGTTTTATTTAAAAGTAACGATTCCAGCTATCATGCACCTTTTAATCAGTGACGTATCTCTTATCTGCTTTGGATACGAAAACCTTTTTTGATATATGTATAATAAGAATGTTTTGTGTACTTAGATTCTTGTAAGCTTGACAAGGACAGAACATTTCGAGTTATCTTCCAATGTCGACCAAAGAATATGCATATGTGGCAACGAGGCAAAGTCTGTCAAGTACGTCCTTACGCCCCTCCAACTTGGACATATTCCCTTGAAGGTTACAATCAGGAATGTCTTACCAAGTCTGTGCCAAGACCCATCCAACGAGGCCCCGTTAGGAATATCCGATGCTGTTGTGCGCAAGCTCTTAGTGGAGGTAAACGCTTCTTGTTGAATAAAATTCTCATTTCTAATCACGGAGCGTAATACTCCAGTTTCAAATTCTCTGTTCTACAGGATTAGCCTCGATTGCGTATAGAATTACTTTGAATATTCATGCATTCTAGTCAATGTCCGTGTATTTCAAAGTGTCGTAGTGTTGAAGTTTTGCATTCTTTACTTTGCCATTGGTATTTGTGAATATTTGGACACTGAAATGAGACTAACCCTGAATAAACGAGTCTAGCAGGACTAAAAGTAACGGCCTATCATCGGACAATTTCCGGCCAGAACTGGGACTTGTCCGGTCAGGTTTTTGTCTCTTTTTGATATGAGTTAGACCCAGGTCAAACGTCGAACTTCACATGAGTCGAACCTAATTAAAACAATGGACAACTTGTGAAGTTCGACGTTTGACCTGAGCCCAACTTTTAGCCAGAAATGAGAAATGACTATGCTGAAACTAATTTGGCCTGTGATCCTGACCGGCGACTGACCGTCTATTATATTATGATAACAATAATCATCGTCTTTAGTATTTGTTCACACAAGTGACTATAATAAATCCGGCGCGCTCATTGGTCACAATTTATGTCTGATGCTACAGGTGAATATAACTCGCGCATGCGCACGCTTGTTTGTCGATTCGTGCCGGTTGCAGAGATATATAGAATTGGAACATCTTTCTGAAATTGTTTTAGCCGAGACTTCAAAAGATTTTGTAATCACAGTAAGTTGTTTTCGTTAGGTATAAATCCCTAACTAGCGAAAACAACTTGCAAGAATTGGAACAAAAATATGCTTAAGTTAATCGACAAGAAAATAAAAATAAATGACCGCTTCCCTAAATGACGTGAAAGAATCCGATACCTTTTAACTATTCCAAAGTTTAGGGGAAAACTGTGTCGAGTTGGCATTGCAGTGCATTYTGGGACATTTTAGGGGACGTATTTCCAAGATGGCGTCTATTTCCTTCCCTAAATCATTCCCACAATTAACCCCAATGCCAACCAAAGACATTTTTTTCCTTAACTTCGGAATGGCTAATAGATACGCATCTGAAGACTATATATAACTCGTGGTATTTGTGATTGTATTGCAGCCAGAAGGCGTGAGACAGGAATACACGTACAGCAGTTTTGTTTGTCCTAAAGGTTAGAAATATTGTAGTTCCATGGTAGAATGAACGTCAAAGAACACACATGTTAAAAGATATTAAATAAATATGCTAAACAAATAAATAAATGAATATATAACAACATCAAGACAGCTCAAACCTCAGGAAACCCAATCTTTGTCTTTTTTACTGATTAATATTAAAGTGAATTTATATAGTCTTTATTTTGATTTGATTGGATTTAACTTCACCTTCTTACAAATAAAATAGATCAGTAGGAATGTAAGCGCAAACGAAAAGAAAAGAATAAAAAAAGTGAAAAAATGACATGGAGACCACAACAGCCTCCGCCATCTACTGCGAAGTTGTGACAACTGGGAAATACGGGAATCTTTTTTCGTCTATGTTTCACATGTGTCCTGTTATTAGCTTCGTTTAAGCGCAATTTGAGCGTTTTTAACAAAGTAGCGATAAATAGTGAATTTGAAATCAGATTTTCACATATTGACTAATTTGTTATTCTATTGCTTTCGCCCGCAGATTCCGCAGTAGTCAGTGATAAGATAGAAGTGAATCTTCCAAAAGATATTGTTACTGGCTCTGTCCATGCAACTATTTCGACTATTGGTTAGTTTATTTAAAGTTTATTGGCCTTGCCTTGCCTTGCCTTGCCTTGCCTTGCCTTGCCTTGCCTTGCCTTGCCTTGCCTTGCCTTGCCTTGCCTTGCCTTGCCTTGCCNCCTTGCCTTGCCTTGCCTTGCCTTGCCTTGCCTTGCCTTGCCTTGCCTTGCCTTGCCTTCAATGTTTCATATATTTTACTTATATGTTTTCCAGGTGACTTGATGGGGCCTAGTTTAACGGGGCTTGAAGGATTACTCCGGCTACCAACCGGCTGTGGTGAACAAAATATGGTCAAGTTTGCTCCCAACATCTTTATCATGCAATATCTAAACAGTACTAGGCAACTTGCTGGAGACTTACAAGATAAGGCTGTTGGCTTCCTAAGGACAGGTCAGATACATCTGAAGAAATAAAACACAAACAAACAAACAGACAGATACATGAATGAATAAATGGATAAATAACACTCAGTAAAATAACGCATTCTTTATAAAAGCAAATAAAGACATAGACTGAACKGCTACTAATATGAGTGCATATGTTATTTCCTTTTCTTATGGTATAGGATATCAGCGAGAACTAACTTACAAACGTAAGGATGGCTCGTACAGTGCTTTTGGTGACAGGGATGACGAGGGAAGTTTATGGTGCGTAACATAACAAGCTAGTTCGTTCGCCTGTGGCCGGATGGGTTTACTAAACAGCAATAGTTACATCTATGATTTATTTTTTTCCAGGCTGACTGCGTTCGTACTGCGGTCATTTTCTCAAGCACGTCAGTTTATCTTTGTTGACGAAGAAGAAATTAAGTCAACAACGAAGTGGATCGAATCCAAACAACTGGACAATGGTTGCTTCAGAGAACAAGGAAGATTATTCAACAAGGCTCTAAAGGTAAAACTAATTAGGAATAAACACAGAGGACATAAAGATGTACAGTGTAAACTCTCCCATACGGTCACCCTCGAAAGCAATCAGCCTAGGCCAAGCCCGCACTATAATGCGTTTACGAAATGCCCTGTCTTCGTCTCATGCACCGAAAACGCATTGAAAGCTTCCCTACCACTCTAGCACTAAAACGATCAAAAMCGCAGGTACGATYGCCAATGATACGATATCATCATCTGCGAATGCGAAAAATAAACTTGCCWGTGTTAATGACGTCAACGTTTTCAAAACCTTACGTTTTCGCTAATTAATGTCTGCGCTCAGGACAGCGTTTTTTAATGCAAGCGTTTTGAAACGGCTTAATACGCATTAGTGTAGATTAATGATTAATGAAGAAATAGAAAACGCGCGCGCGTGCTGTGTGCTGTCATAAAGCACGCRGGGGTTGACCGAACGCGAGAGAAGTGTCAGGAGAAGCATGACGCGTAGTGGAGTGCTTYTGGACACTTCTCGAGTGTTCTGCCAATCCCCAAGTGCTTTATAACGGCACACAGCACAGCAAGCAAGTTTTTTATTTCTTTTATRAAATACAAATTACCATAATAGATAGGAATGACGYAACGGAAAGTGCGCGCGTGCAATGTATTCTCATAAAGCACGCGCCCCAAACCAATCAGAACGCGACATTCATAACAGTWATYTTATAAATTCCAATAGTGTAACAACAGCTGCTCAGTATTGTCTGTTTTTAGGGAGGTGTATCAACTGCCGTCACATTAACGGCTTATGTCGTTATATCATTATTGGAGAGCAAAGTAGATCCATCGGTAAGTCTTTGTTAACAAGAACGACCCCAAGACGTTCAGAACGATTTTGTTCTACTTATTTTTCCTCTTGTTTTCAGAGTCCAGTTATTGTGAATGCTCTTCAATGCATTACTGCCCAGAAAGACACCGTGACAGACTCTTATAGTAACGCAATCATTGCTTTTGCACTGACTCTTGCTAAACATTCTAGTCGGGGAGAGTTTATTGCTAGGCTTAGATCGAAAGCGATTTTTAAAGGTACGTTAAGATGTTCACTTTTTTGATGAATTTTTTTATATTTTTGTATTTTTGTATGTAAACATATTTTGTCGTTACATTAACCCCAAGAGCGTAACGCTCATCGAGGTGGTCTTTGTCAATTAATGATGAATTAATTGACTGCAAGGTAGAGCCCGCTATTAATGTCGATCCTAGAAGCCTTTTTCTTTCCACACTTCTAATTCTATCGGTGGCAACTAATTAGTCTCACATTAGCTCCATCTATTCATGCCAAATGTTGGACAAATATGAAAGTTTACAATGATGGACGTTGCTGCAGTTCAATCAGCGTTACCATAGCAACGATCAAATCGTTTTTTTAAAGTGTAATACATGATGTTTTAGATTGAATCTTTCATTTCTTCAGATGGACTGATGTACTGGGAAAAAACCGTAAAACCGGTCAAACAAACCGAATATTTCTGGTTGCCTCCATACAATCGTGCTGCATCCGCTAATATTGAAATGACATCGTACGCATTGCTGGCCCTGGTTGGTGACGGAAGAGACAGTATTGCTGTTGCTGATGCCTTGCCAATTGTACGTTGGATTACTAAACAGAGGAACGCACTTGGAGGATTTTCATCTACACAGGTAACATTTACAGCCCGGAAGAAACAGAGAGATATTTAGGCAACAGAGATCAAATCCTCATGGTCGATTTACACGGAACGATGTCGCACACARCATGTTAAGTCACGCCAAGTTTTAGTTGCCATTTACCGACCKTCGTGAGCAGATTGTACTGTCGAATTCGTGTCGTCAACATGTTGTGCGCGACAGTTTTGAAAAAAACCTAGCGTGTAATTTGRTCATAAGATTTACTTGTTGGCCAAAAATTAGACAGATGGAATACGCACGAAGGGCTGTGCCGTAATGACTATCAGTAAATATAATGTAAATATATCTATTTCAAAAAAGTTGCCGGATCCAAAGGYGATATGAAATAGAAGTAGATCATTCCGAGATCAAGAATAGCTCGTAATTCTCCTAAGAACAGAGGAACTTAGTGTTGGGATATCCAGTGTTTATTTGTGTTTAGTTGTATACCCATAATTCCTTTGGGCCCGGCTTGGAATGATCTGTCACTTTCTGGTCTCCTTTGGCACCGCTAACCTTATTTATGTGTATACTGAATGTATAATTGAGGTATATGTTTTGCTAGGACACATGTGTAGCCCTACAGGCGATTTCACGATATGCCGGGTATACCTATAGTGGAACTACTAATATGAGAGTTGATGTTGGGTATACAAATGATCCAAAATTCCGCCACACTTTCCGTATCGACGATATCAACAGACTGGTCTTACAACGGGCTAAGGTAAGTACCACGATCCAAGAATATTCTATTGCTTATAAGGAAAAGTATATATACCTTAGATGTGTTTTACGATTCTAAAATTATCAACGATTCAAAACAAACGAAAACTGCAAATGACTATGATTTTTAAACATTTTTCATGGGTTTTATCATAGTTATTTGGGGGGACTCGAAAAACAAATAAGAATTCATGAAAATTCTTGGTGAAACTTCAAAATTTTTGAGATGTTCAGGCGCGGCGGATCCATAGATTTGTTTGGGGGGAAGGGGGGTGTTCTAAATGAAGAAATCTATATAGAGATATCATACCTCTCTTCAAAAAATGCGTAAGAGTAATTACGGGTGTCAGGTGCCTCATGTTTTGATAAGAAACTGAACATTCCTCGTTGTTGTACAGATTCCAGAGGACATTCTACCAATAACGATTCCGGTTGATGCTTTTGGTAGAGGCTGTGCTTTAGTACAGGTAAGCATGTGTCTTGGGCCTTTTTAACAAGCCATAAATACAATAAAGTTAATATACCTTATTCACATCGTATATTTCACTGTTTTAGGCGGATGTTGCTTATCATATACGCGACGTCGCAGAAAAACAAGCATTCGGGTTGTCAGTGAGCGTCAGACGCCGTCCTGTAGAAGCGTCCTCCCTTGTAATGACCGAAGTAGGAGAGGAACTTTGTCAACCCCTTGAGATGTACATCTGTGCTAAGTAAGTAAAACATCGTTATGACCTGTGGATTGGTTAGTGTAATGAAGGTGTTCTGATCGACCCGCCATCAGATGTGAGTAGGATTACTTGTCAGTTCTCCATGGCGGCGCTTCAAAGGTTTTTCTCCGCATTCTGCTGTTCCCCTTGACCTTCCCTGAATTAGTTTGGATAAATAAAAGAATCAAGTTCAGTCTTGACTTCAAACTATTGTTTCATGGTCAGTCAAGAGAATTCGGGAAAGATGGTCCATTGGATCTGGTTTCGAAGACTTCAGTCATTATCCTTTACTCGTGATGTAAACGTTTATAGATTTATTAAAGAGCTTTCATAAATAAAAATGCCATGGGACGTTATTCCCAATTCATGAACAGGAGAAAATATTACATTGCTTCTGCATGCCCTCAGTTGAGGTATACAAAGGATGCCCCAAAATTCTCAATTTCTTTCTTTCTTTCTTTCTTATTTGTATATATTTTTGATCAGGTGGTTAGGAGAAGATACTTCTGGTATGGCTGTAATAGAAACAAAGCTCGTATCTGGATTCACTGCTGACGAAGAAACATTGGAGAGGGTAAAATATACTAAACCATAATTAATGAACTTCAGCTCACAGGGGCTGATCCAGGATTTCGTTCAGGGGGCGGGGGGTTGCTGCGCACAAAGTTAACTTGGGGGGGGGGG